ATTATTATTATTATTATTATTATTATTATTATTATTATTATTATTATTATTATTATTATTATTATTATCAATTTCATCATCGTTTCTTTTCCTTAAATTATCAAAGACGAAATTCTTAATGTTCTGCAAAAAAGGAAGTAGCAATGTAATGAAATATGGAGTTAATCTTATCTGCACTTTGAAAATGAGGATAATAAGATACTATTGTTAGTATAATGTCATTGAAAACGGTTGTAACGATGGTAATAAGAGACTGATAATGGTAATCATAGTGGGGAAAATCGATATGGAAAACTATCTTATCAAGTCTTGAATATCTTGAAATATCGATGAATCGTAACAAAAAATGAAATCGTAATAATAAATTTATTATCTCGTCTTTTTATTTCCTGTTCCTTTCTTATCTTTTTTTTTTCTTTCACTTTTCATTTATATGTGAGGTACTGCAACAAATAATCCACGATCGTAAGCATATTAGAATTCAACAAATTTCCAAAAGTTTTTTCAACTTTTTCATCTTAAAACTAATGCTGAAAACTTTAATTTATCAAATCGATGGCGTTGATCTCATTAGCATTTTCGTTTATTGCTTAAAATTTCATTTTAACTTTGAAAATCAAATCTTCTGCAGACATGGTTGTGTCGTTTTGTGAAAAACTTGGTTGGACATATTTACGAAGTGTACTGGATGGTTTTTCCGAGCGACTGACATTTGGCGTTCGTAAAGATTTGACGGAATTGGTTCAAATTGAAGGGATTGATGGTGCACGAGCTCGAGCATTTCACAATGCTAATATTACAACAGTTCCAGCTTTAGCTGTCACTTCAATTGATGATATTACGAGAATTTTACGATCTGTAGTTCCTTATGTCAGGTATGCATATTTTGTCTAAGGTATACTTTTATTGAACTATGTAGTAACTTTTAATAAGAGTGATTGTTTCAATGAATGCCAATAATGATAAAAGATTGTAAGTGTTGTAGAAGGGGAGGTATAATGCTTATCATATATAGAAAAATGGTGCATAAATAAGCTAAAACGTTGCTAATAATAAGTGAGGCTTTATGGGATGATAACTGATAATAAATAATGCACAAATCATCAAAGTATAGGAGGAAGGAGTTAAACGACATTATACGAACAGTTTGGAAAAAGTTTTAACAAAGATCTTTGACGGAAATTATATGATGCATTCCTAAAAATTCTGACAAAGGAATATTACTAGTCTTGATTCAGTGTTAAATTAAATCAGCAATGTATCAGAACTATTGCTCATATTGTTTCACTTTTGCATTTCGAGTCAGCAGATGAATTAAGATTAAATTAAATTTTAAAAATGTACTTTTTAGTTTATTTATAGTCATATTTCTTGGTACAAGTTTATATTTCTTAAATACGTTAAAAGGATAAAATCCAAATATTTTAATCCATATATTAGATTTGAATTAATATATATTAAGTAATTTGATAAGTATTATTTAAGCATGATCTGACCTGATTAACAAATCAAAATTGGTGAGATAATTGCCTGGTTAATCTTTCTTTCTATCTCTCCTTGTATATTAGAGGAAAGCGTTACAGAACCTGATTCTCTAAGAATTGCCAAATGACGAAATGACGAATGTAAAAGGAAGAATGAAATGATGTACATCATCAACTGTAACCGTAAAGCCATAATAAACTACTCCTTTAATGTTTATAATGAAATACAGACCAATATGAACAACTGATAAATGTGGACATACATACAGATCTAGACATGAAAGATACATGTGGACATATAGATAAACATAAACATAACGAATTGACGAGCTTTTTAGCTGTCATCCATTTAATTAGTGGTAATTGGGCAACAGTTTGGTTAGTGAAGTAGTAAAAAGAAGTCAATTCAATTTGGGATAATGGAAGGATAGTAAGGGAGTAAGATGGACAAAACAGACGACACCATACGTTTCAAGGCCATTATATTTCAGACAAATGATTGGGATTAAATAAGAGCAAAAATCTTTTTGTTCAGAAAAGATAGCTTTTATAGTTATAGCAAATATTACGTCATCTATAGTGAAGGATAGACAGAAAGAATAGATGTAGTAAAGATTGAGGGGAAGAATAAAATGAAGGACGAAAGAATGAAATGAAATGAATGGAAATGAATGAATGTTATTTGAATAATTTAGTATTAATCGAGTAATATCATATTAAAATGTATTAAAACCGAATACAAATTCTGCCACAAAAAATAAAACAATTAAACGATGCATGAATCATTGGAAGCATTTAATGTTGTCAACAGTGTAAAGATTGTTTGGAATAAATTATTAAAAAAAAAAGAAAACAACGGTTAACGATAAACTTTATCCATTGATTGATTTTTTTCCTAAAAATATTTAAAGAAATAAAAATTGGATAAAATGTAATGTGAAATTTCTGTAATTTTTCACTTCATCAAAATTTGTAATTTATACTTTATTTTTTTATTAAATTTTAATTAATTGCAGGCGTGGCAACAACAAAGGATTGAATCGTTGGCTCGCAGGGGAAGGTTTAATGACGGATGTTGAAGCAGCTCAAATATTAATTCAACGTTCTCGTCTACATCTTTCCTCTTCGCTCAGGTTATTTCTTGTTTTAGCATAAGTATTTCGTTTATGTAGGCTAACCGAAATTAGGATATCTAACTTCGTGATACATCTAAATGATAATACTATAGCATGCTGTCGAACAATGAGTATAAAATTCCAATGAAGATTTGCGGATTCAGAATTTATTTTAGTCCATCTAGTGGTTCGATTATCACTTGAATGCACGAATTACTAACATATTCCATTTTGATAAATTGGGAAAAGCATAAGAAAGATGGATCAAAAGAATTTAATTCAGTAAATTATGGAATTAATTATTCCATTTCTTAGAATATTCGATATTAAATTATTATGTTGTTGGGTTTCACGAAACTCTCCAAACATCTGTTATCGATATGGAATAAAGACTTTGTTCATGGAAGTAATCTTGAAATATGACAACATTTACCGCAGATCTTTATCTGAATCAATGAAAAATTGACTTTTGATTGGCTAAGACCAATGAAGTACTTTCTGTCATAGGAGTACTTTTTTTTTTAGATATCTTCATCGATATTCTCTTGATCATTTACAACCATCGATCATTTATGCTACTATCATATATCAAATGATGTGTTATATGTGGAAAATCGGAAGATTTAGACACTGTCATGATTAGTATTATTTGTACTGATCATTTAATTGACTTGTTTCAATTCAATAATTCTATTTTAGGGCTATTGGTATATTCTCGGATGCCAAAATTGATTCTCTATTTTCTACAGTGACATCAATTTGTGAAACTAATCATGATAGCTTGGATGCCACAACCAATAAACGTGGTGATAATAGTATGGATCCTGATTCTATCCTCTCAGATCTTGAATTTACTTCGCATGATTTCTTCACGGTTAGTAAATTCTATCAAAAACACTATAAAATTAGGGTATTTTAACTTTTTTATAAAAAAAGTGATATTTATAAACTAGTAAATATCATTAACTTACTGAAGTAAATAACGTAACTTACTCAGGTAATTTATTACCAATTAGGTAATCTTTTTATATTTTTCTATCTAAAAATTGAATCTTACAGCCTTTAACTATGTTGCAGCATTACTCTACTATTGTAATTTATATTGCTTACAAAGCAGAAAAATCAATATTTGAATTATATGAGATGTTAGTTCATTATAATCATAATCAGCCACTGGCGTGATAGTGTCCTAATTGATGTTTATGCATGATTATGAGGAAATAATGAATTATGTGAATTAAAGAAAATTAAAAAAACGTAAATTAAAGTTTCTTCCTTGAATAATCCTTCTTCATCAATAATTTGAAAATATAATCGTTTTTGCAGCGTGAAGTTTTTCCGAACACAAATATTTCTAAAAATTCGGAAGAACAAAGTACAGCAAGCACTCAAAGTTTAACCCAAAAATCAGAAGTAATTGAAAAACGACCACCGAAAATGAAATTTCTAGAATGTGATAACTTAGACGAGGTCAAACAAGATGTTTTGCATAATTATTCAGCAATTAATAAAGAGAATTTGGACATTTCGAATAGATTGGATACGAATAATGTTGAACAATTATGTATGGATTTATCCCATACTTCAATGTCAGATGAAACATTGCTACGTTTTGGTTGTAGTCAATATTCCAGTAAAATTGAACAAGTTACTCAAGCACTAGATGCCATTAATGTTCTAGCTAATAACGAGAGATTTGATAAAATTAAGTCAGAGAAGGAGCAAGATGAACTTATTGATTTGAAAATATTTGAATCGTTGGATATTTTTAATTTGGTCAACAATGAAACCGAAATGATTGCAAAAACGATAGCAACATCAACAGCTGCTTCTCTTGGAATGCAAAATGATAATGTACAAAAGGATGAGGAGAAATATTTTTCGAACACTAAATTGAAAAAATCATCCATAAATCAATTTAGCGAACTATCAGCAATGACAGAATGTTCTATGTCACAACAGATACCTCTTGAAAGGATTAAAGAAGAAAAGAAATTGTTGTAAATTCGGATGACAGTGTTGGAAATCGATCGATTTTTGATCGTAGTAACGATTTGTTTGATCGAACATCTTGTTCATCGATTAGTTCGCGATCATTTAATACACCACAGAATTCATCATATTGCATGAAACGTATCAATCGACGATCATCATTTAGCCAATCATCAAGATCACCAAGTTTTCAAAGTCCATTGCATAAAATGTTGAAACCTGGATCACCTTTTGTAATATCTGCGGAAAAAGAAATTAAATTTAATGAAAGTATTAAAAACGACATTGAACATTTCAACAGTAATCAAACAAGAACTGCCGAATTTCAAATTATAGATGTTTGCGGGTACATTTATTTATTTAGAAAGCTAAAACACTTGATGACTTTTTCAAATTAAACTCAAATAATCAATGTAAAATTTTAATAAGAAATTTATAGAATTTATTGAGAAAAATTATCCTGTGTAAATTTTCAGGTCTCGTATAGCATGGGAACAGTTATTGGTACGGCAAAAGTACTGGAATCAAATTGGTTTAGGTATTGCTATATACAACAGAGATATAATTGGGATAGCTTTATGCGCATTAAATGAAGAATGTGTTTATATTGATTTCAGACCAAGTCAGTTAATTTTAATTTATATTATCATAAATCGAAGTTTAATTTAGAAATTGAACTTGTTTATTTTGATTTAAAATAAAGACAAATGATTAGAGATAATTGTTGTAGTAACTTTTTGTCACCAAATTATTGATAATTTGGTGAAGCAGTTCCCTGTTTAAATACTACAATTTATTTTAAATTAAATTACTTGATAATTCATATATTTTATCAGCCATATCAGCTTTTTTTTTCAGATCGTATTTCTGAAATTGAAATTTACGAACGAATAGAAACATTGGATAATATATTAAGATCTGAACAACAAAAATACATTTATGATTTAGTATCATTTTCACGTTCATTACGATATCTTCGAGGTACAACTTATCCACCTTCGCTATTCAATCATTGCATTTGTATACAAACACTTTCATACTTGGCCCATTATCGTGCATCGGATGGTAATTCCGCTATTTCATTTCAGGTTTTTCTTTTTTCATATCATAATTTCTATCACATAATAATTGTTTGTCTTTTATCAAAAGTTAATCTTCGGGTTTATTTGCTCTTTTCATTGATTCCATAATAGTTGATCATTTTACTCTCGGCAGGATAGGATGGGAAAATATTTTAAAATTTAGTTTATTTTAAATCAGTTGTTTGTGATATCAAACTACTATATCATATTTGATGATTTTGTTCCATATCTATGCATATCTATGCTTTTCGTTTTTTTTTCAGGATTTAGTTTCACAACTTACTTCTCCGGAACGTGCTATAATTTTAAGAAATGCGACATCGCGATTGCAAGCAGCAATTAGCGCATTTATATGCTTGCATATGCATGATGATTTGTTATCTGCTGCCATTCGATTATCTTCGATGAAATCTGTGGAATTAGAATTACAATCCGTTGTTTTATTCAGTGAAATAGAAACTATGGGTATAGCTTTCGATACGAATAAAGCTGAAATTCTGCATTCCAAGGTGTTACATATTTTTTAATTTTTCAAGTTTTTTTTTTCTTCTTTTTGTGGATTTGTAATTATAAAAGCAAAAAACGAAAATATTGTATGACTTAAAGAAGAGTGTATCAGGATTTTTGTTAAGTCGTACTAATAATTTTAGCTTAAACAGAAGTTGACGGACATTGAAGCAAAAGCATATGATATCAGCGGAATTCCATTTAATTTTGGTTCAGCAGCAGAAATTTCTCAGGTATCAAGTGTTCATTCTTTACATATTAGCGAAGGATATCAATGCGAATTACTGGTTTAATTTATCATATCAAGAAAAATTAATAGTTTTCTCTACTCATTTCAATTTTGTTTAATTAAAATTTTAAAGCGGTATTAAATGTAAGCTTTTGATAATTCTGAGACAGTAAAGTAATATTAGTGATTAACATGCAAAACATGTGTAAAATTTCTCAGAGTGATTTTGTATTATTCAGATACTTTTTGTACGCTTGCAAATTCCACCACCAAATTTATCTACTGGTCGACATTATTCCACCAACAAATTTGTCCTACAACAATTAGCTCCAAACTATCCCATCATAAATTTAATTTTGGAATGGAGACGAATTAGTACCGCTCTAACGGTAAGTATGCTAAATTTATGGATTATAATAATATCTGATAACGTCGTTAATCTTGGCGTATAAGTCATTTCTTTAGCTTTTTTTTCTTTTTCTTTTTTTTTAACAACCGATGACATCGGTTTCTTGGACATAATTTATTTTTAAACTTTTTGAGCTAGTATAAGCACTTTTTTTCAGACGTCTTTGCCATCGCTTTTAAAATCATGCTGTTCTGATGGTCGAATTCGTACTAATTTTATAACATATAGCTGCACTGGTCGTGTTTTAACAGAAAATCCAAACGTGCAGAATGTGCAAAAAGATGGAATCATCGATGGTTTTTCCATCCGGTCATTGTTCATCGCTCCGAAAGGTAATGTAAATTGCTAGAAGCGTTAATTTGACAACATATGCAAGGATGCAGTGTCAAGCATTACAAATGTAAACATGTTGGAAAAAAAGATGCAACATACTGGGTAGCTGTTAATCCATATTTTCTGCAAAAGTTGGTAAATCATTTCTTCTACTTTTTAATTTTTAACTTTTCACTGCATTTAAAACTGAAATTTTCACTAATGAAATGATAATTGTGCAAGTTACTAGTTTTTTTTTTACAATTTGTTTTCCAAGTTAATTTGATATGTCTAAGGTAGGATTCTGTTGTCGTCTGATTATCGACAGTTGGAAATGAGAATGTTGGCACATCTCTCAGCTGATTCTCAACTCATATCTTTGTTTTTGGCTGAAGGAGATTTTTTCGAAATTATTACTAATAAATGGAATACCAACGAAACGTTGCCTGTTAAAGTAGATCGGAATAAAGTAAAGCAGGTTATTAATTTTTTACTGGAGTGAAGTTGTCCTTTGTCGAAATGTAAAACCAGATATTTTAATGAATTGAATCTTAGAAAAAAACATTGACAATTAAATTTTTAAAAAAAACGGCAGTGTTTTAGGTTAATTTTTCAGCTTTGTTACGGTATTATCTATGGCATGGGTTCTCTATCACTGAGTAAGGAATTGGGCATACAAAAACAACATGCACAACAAATGATCATATCTTTTTTCCAGCAGTTTCCAAGTAAATCTTAGAGAGTTATTTGATCGAATCAAATTTATCAGTTTTATCGATTTTATTTTCTTGATTTTTCAAAGAAAAAAGTAAAGAAATAAGGAAATGATGGCACTGAAACTTTCTGTAAATATTCTTTTGTTTACAGAAGTGCGAACATGGATGGATAAAATATTAGCAGTATGCCGAGCAGACGGATTTGTGAGTACCCTGTTAGGTCGTCGACGATTTTTACCCCAAATAAACAGTATGCTACAAACAGAATCAGCTCAAGCTGAACGGCAAGCTATCAATACTTGTATACAGGTAGTTATTACACATATCTAATTTTCTATAAGTTAATGTCGATACCTGGCTCATTTGGTGATGTAGTGTAACATAGTTCAACTATCTACGGCTTCTGACGGATGTAGCATTGTTTTTAATCGTGCAACTATTTCATTTTATCCACCTATTCAATTAAATGTTATTAAATGTGTGGATTTACAGCGTAAGTTGATGAAGACTTCTGGATAAAATGTCATCTTTTTGACATGTTTAACGTTATTCGAATATTTATTAGTCTTATTCGAGTATTGGTACAATTGATTAATATTGAGAGGAAGTTAATAAGTGAAATTTATAGATAGAATAAAATATGTTATCTTTTTTTTTTCGATATAAGTTTTTGTGATACGATAGGAAAGTTATGATCCATTTGTAAAAATGAAATATTTCCGGACAAGAATTGTACCAATTATCTAGTTCAACCAGAATTGGGACATATAATTAAGAGTTTCAATTTCAATTATCAGTCTTGTATAGGATATACTCTGTTTGTACGATGAATATTGTGTACGATCATCTTTGTCTGTCTCTTCACATTACCACATAGAGAATTTTGTCATGACTATGACAATAGAGGTTGCTGTTTTTCCTGTTTTAAGCTATTTAATAAATTGTAAAACAAAATCTTGCAGGGTTCGGTAGCTGAACTGTTCAAAATGGCGCTGTTGAATTTACAGAAGAATTTACTAGGTCTAGTTTTTTTTTTTTTTCGTCTTTACTTTTGAAAGATGATGTGTTTGTCTTAGGAAAATAAAGAGTGAAAAATCACGAGATGTGATCTAATGCAGACGGTAGTGCTATAAATGTGTTAATATAGAATACCAAGAACAATGGATCTGATTGGTACTGATTGGTCTTTTTGAAGCTGATTGAAAGTGCAGAATGTTTTGGAATTTCCGGAAAATTCTTGAACAGTTAACAGATTTCTGTATATTCACATTTCAGGTACTAATTCATCAATTGTTATGCAAATGCACGATGAAGTGTTGGTAGAAACAGATGAAAGTTCGGTAGCTTCAGTTGTTGAAATTATTAAACATTCAATGACATCAGTTATGCCAAATTTACGAGTTCCATTGGCAGTTAAAATTTCATCCGGAAAAAATTGGGGGGAACTTCGGGAAGGTGTTGAAATTGGGAGTGGTTGAAAATTTTTATGCTGAAAATGTGCTGAAGTTAAGTTGGAAATTTCTTCCCAACAGGAAACTTTTGTTTGAGCAAAGGAAAGTTTAATTTCCCATTTGTCTTTTCCTGTTATTGGGGGTTAACCTGTCAGTATTAGTTTTCCAGATTTCATTTTACTGATTGGTATCTACATTAAAATTTCATTTTTTCAAAAAATGAAACAACTACCGACATTTCAATATTCAGGATTCTTTATGAAATGCTATAGCTGCTTTTCTATGAGCGATGGATTATATAAATGTATGTATGCCGAACATATGTAGTGTAGAGATCATTCCAGGAAGAAATTAATTGTAGTTTTTTTTTTTCATTGAAAAAATTTTCCCAATTCTACAGTTTGTCTATTGAAAGCTAATTCTGAACAGGGAATTTCATTGATTAAATATATTATTATCTAGCGCTCTTATTATTTTATCTAGTCCTTGCTCTGATTTGACTAACTTATTATCATCGACTCAACAGGAAATTAATTTATACTTATCCGATTTATACTTATCCGATTGTCAATGATTCTACTTACCTGATTGTGAATAATAGTTTGTGCTTATTCGATTGTAAATGATAGTTTGTGTTTATCCAACTGTAAATGGTAGATTGTGCTTATCCGATTGTCAATTATATCAATTGTCCCAAACATAATGTAATCACTGGAAGATACTATTTTCCATCCATTGTGCAATGAAATCATCATTTTACTTATTTCGTATTATAAATGCTCAAGGTCTGCATATTATTGGATTTGCTATATTTCTACCTGATGTTATAGGATACCTGTAACTTTGGAATTTTTTAAATTTGTCAATAATATTTGGCCGATTCGATATCTGTAGAACTTTCGCGACAAAAATATATTGTGATGTGAATTGAATGATATTAATGCACGAATCAGAAAGCAATATTTGTAGCTGTAAATCACTTCCCGTAAATGTATGGTATGTTTATTACAGCTATTTTTAACTTTAATAATGACAAGAAAGAGATTCATTACAAATAAATTAGAGCAGATTGTTGAAGAGTGAAGTGTTCTGATTGATTAAAATAACATTAATCAATTAAGGGGATTTCAAAGGGAATGGTAATGAAGTGGAGGTAGGACGAATGCATGAGAAGAGGTGAAAATTACAATGATGGTAGTTAATGTGGATGATAATGGTAAGATTAACTGTGATTAGGATAACGAACTGTGAAAAAAGCACCAAATCAAATTACGATATCACTAAATAAAATTATCATATTAAATTTTAAAAATTTTATGGGGAAATATGAAGCGAAAATTGAAAAACCATCAACTAATGAAATGCAAATAACAATTGTGTAGTAAGTCAACCAATTATCATTACCATTATCAGTGGTTGTGGACAGCAAGTATGACTCAAATCTTAACATTCAACTATTGATGTACAATTAATCAAATTGAATTAATGTATGTAATAGGATTTCCGCCAAAAAGACAAAGAACAATCACGCATTAAGTATTAATTAAGTATGAACAAAACAAAAAAAGAGCACTGTAGGAGAAACTCAGAAGATAATGGGAAAAAGATATAAAAAGAAACAAAGAGTAGAATTTCTTCAAAAATTTAAAACACGATAACTTCTTAAGGATACTATCATAATCTGAGTAATTAGAATGAAATTGTTCGAAGTCTATTATTAAAATATTTCACTGAATATTACTATAATTAAAGCTTGAAAAGATTACCATCAAATTGATTGAGAATAATGAATGAAAAGAAAATAAACCAGTATGAAATGATTATAAAAGAGGGAAATCTGAAATTTGTTGCTTATCTGTAACAAATGAAGATTAAAATAAGAACGACTAAGAGATCTGGAATCCTTTGATATGCGGAAAACGAAAAGAACAAAATAAATTGAACAACGAAGAATGAATAGACGACAGAAAGGAATTAATCATATTAGCCTTACAGTAAACTACATATTCACGATTATAAAAATGAAAGATTTGAAAGCTACAGAAGAGTTATACTGATGTACTAATTGTCGTTTCTCGCCTATTTAAGAATTATAGATGTTCGACGATATGAAAGATGATTGATTTCCGGAAAGTCTACAAAGTAATTATCATCTAATGTTTTTTCTATAATATTGGAAGTGGAATCTTTTCAATTTAACTCGCAATTCGATCTTTTATCACATAATTATTTTTTTACACCAAAACATAATTAATCGAATTCCGGAAATTGGCAAGAACTAATGCAACCTAAATCTGGAATGGGAAACACCCCCAAAAGCAACGACAAGACTCCATATAAGGCTTTGTTAACTAGCAATCACAGCGTGGGATGTTCGTATGTAACGTACCATCATGGCCTTATAAAAATTTGATGCCTTGGGAGGATTTATTGTATAGTTGGTTGAATTTAGCCATTTTTCCAGGCTGTATTTGTGTGTTTTGGGTTTTGTATTGTGGTCAGTAAGAGGCTGTATTTCATTTTCTCGCGGGATTAACGGGATATTTGAATGGTAGTTCGAATCATTAGAATAACGGGGTAGTATTTGAGTGGTAGTTTGAATTCCAAGAATAACGGGTAGTATTTGAGTGGTAGTTCGGGCGACTAAAATAACCGGATGGTATTTGAATGGTATTTTGGATCATTAAAATAACCGGATAATATTACAATAATATTTCGTGGCATTGAAATAAGTCTAATACTGATTAAATATCATATAAGGTTTATCAACTTGAAAATGGCTTTAATCAAACAGTCATCCAAGATATTCTTTGGTATGATATTTAATTCCAGTATATTTTAGCATTTTCATCTAAAGATGGATATCTAACAAAACGAAAAAAAGGTAGTTATTATCGAATATATGTATCAAAATGAATCGATTAATCCTATGTGGATGTGTGATTTATTATTTCGCGAAATTGATGTCATTATAAGGTTTTTCGAATTTCCGAATTTTATACTGGAAAAGTGATCATGTCTGTTGCGAATCGCTTACGACGAATGCATAAGCAACCACCAGAAGGATGGGATTTGATTGAGCCAACATTAGATGAATTCGAAGCGAAGATGCGTGAAGCCGAAACAGATCCCCATGAAGGAAAACGTAAGACAGAAACCCTTTGGCCTATTTTCAAGGTTAGCATTTGATGTTTTTGAAAAAAAAAAAACGAACGAGAAAAGGTAAAAAAGAGAAGTATATCGTTAATATATTCTAATATGTGATTAAATAATGTACGTTTGTGCCGCGCCCAATCAGTATTCATGTGACAATATGCCGATTAGAATGCTATCCATGTGATGGCATTTCTAAGACAGCGTTAAGAATTTTTTATGGTCTTTTCCAGATACATCATCAGCGATCGAGGTATATTTATGATTTATATTACAAACGACAAGTAATCAGTAGAGAATTATATCAGTTTTGTTTGGATACGAAATTGGCTGATGAGAAATTGATAGCTAAGTGGAAGAAACAAGGATATGAGAATTTGTGTTGTTTACGATGTATTCAAACGAGGGATACTAATTTTGGCACCAACTGTATATGTCGTGTACCAAAGAGTAAACTAGATGTGGTTCGTGGATCATTTTAATGTTATCATTCCTTCTCTTTTTTTTTCTCAGATCTTTTTAAAAATACGAAAAAGAAAACAATCTGTTTAGTTGCTGACTGAATTATGTATTGATTTGAAAACACATTTAAGTAAGGCAGTATTGGTTTCAACGGTTGAATTTAAATAATAGATTAAAAACACTTAAATGTTCAATAGTTTGCTCTTCAAATTCTGGAAAGTGACGTTAGGGAGGGAAGCCGAGGGAAAAGGAGTGCAACGTGCTTAATTTTAGGTTTTGCATCTAGTCGTCTTACTGTCTTGTGTATTCTGCTATGAATTTTTATAACATTTTGTTAAATCAAATGCAGAATAGTACCCTACTTTCGTTTCTTTCTTTCTTTTTTTTTTTTGCTTAGAAATTGTGGTGCAAATTTGCGGCACTTAAGCATATTTAAGTACATATAGTTGGTACTTCTTCGTTGTATCACCATGAGTGCGTATTATATTTCCTTGCAAAGAGATTTTTTGGGATTTTAAGCTAAAACATAGATCAAAATTAAGGGCGAAATATATCAAGCCAGAGGAGAAAATTAATTGGAGCTTTTTTCAGGGCCGCGTGGTAGAATGTGTCCATTGTGGATGTCGAGGATGTTCGGGATGATTGAAAAGTTTGAAGTTAACTTCATACAGCTAGACTTATGTTTATAAGTTCCGTATAACATATTTCAAGGAAAAAAGGAGACTGTTATTCATATGTGCAGGTGGAACTGTTTATAATTAGTTATCAGCAAAAAGAAAAAAAACTCCATTATGCATTTTCGAAATGGGTAAAAAGATAGGACTATTTTGGAGGGATTGCAGTATCCTTTCATAAACATTTTACAAAGATTTTGACTTATTTAACATCATGATAGTATATTTCCATAATTGTTATATTATCTTTTTTTTTACAATTTGTAAGTCTGCGAAATTTCTTACTGGAGAAGCTTTTCAAAAAAAATCAACGAAGCCTTTCTTTCGCTTTCTACCGGTTATATGCGAAGCTACATCTTTCTTGGGGATGAATGAATGGGAAGATACCATTACACTGTCTAAAAAGAAATAACCGAATTTTGAAGTTAGAAGAGTGGAAAAAAGAGATTCATCAAACAAAATGGAATCGTTTGTCTTAAAAAGTGGTTTTGTTCCGAAAATTTCGAAATTGCATTGCTTTTTTACTGAATCGATCATAAGTAACTCAAGCTTCTTCTTCCAAGGTAATCAGGAAGCCATTTGTAATATTGGCAATTATAATGAGCTTTTCATGTATTGCTGCTTGTACTAAACGGGGTTTTTTCGTTTGTTCCCAGCAATAAATAATCCCTCAATTTTTCTTGAAAAGAGAAGCCTTATTTTACGACTATAGCCTATTCGTCTCAAGATGAAATCTTGTTGTCATGTGATATATACTTGCTAAATTTTTTTATGGAATACATTTCTATACAAAACGAAGTAGAAGCTAAAAATAATAGTAATTACTGAGCACAGAGATATATTACTGATACGACCAATTACTACTTCAGAGTCTATGGGAATTCGTCAGTATCTGGAAAAAAGATGAACGTCATCCCGTAAAAGCCAAGTCATCAACATACTTATCCTTGATGTCTTTCCATAACTTCCCTTTGTTGTACTGAAAAGCAAATTTCATAGTTCTCTGAATTAAACAATGATACGGCAATGTGTCGACTGCATTATTCATAAAGATTCCCGTGTGCAGAGTTCAGAAAGATGGGAATCACCGAACAAAGTGAACCACTATGAAGAGTTGTGAACACATTTCATATTATATCACAAAACTTATTCTCTCCGTTCACAAATTTCCTGGTTGTAACTAATATAGAAATAATGAGATATGAGATTACCTGACTGAAGAGATAATCGCCACCTTTATCAACGACCAAGTCTGTTGCAATCGCTCCAACAGTTAGTACCACGAAAAGGGTTGAAAAACGTTTGGTGATAAATTTGTACGCATAAGTAGCGAGAGTCATTACGTAATCCTTGAAATAAAACATTTGCAAATCATCCTTCCCTTCAGAAATTCACTCCGTGAAGTCACAACTTATAACAACAGTTTAAAATGGAAAATGGAAAGACTATTAATTAAGAATATCGAAATACAAACTGACAAAAGGTTATAATATTTTCGGGAATCACTGCAGTTAAGAAGATAAGATGGAATGCAGTGATATTGCTGCATCAAAAGTAGACAATTTCAAAAAAGGCAAGTTTACAATCTAGAATTCAATGACTATGAAAAAGAGCGGTAGCTGTCCCAGCAGCCAATACTGTACTTGATGTACTATCAGAAAATATTACACAACACCTTCAAGATACTTAGAATAGATTAAACAGGAAGGTAATAAGTACAGAAAACGCATCTTACCACGTACATTAATGCAGTATTCTATCAATTTCTTTCGCTCCCTGAGAGAATTTTTCTGCAAGTTATATGATAGATTCTGGGAAAAAATCCCAGGATTTCCAGAAAACTCAATAAATTGTAAGATTCTAAGCTAATACCACAATAGACGTTCGGCTTCAGATAATATACCTACGAACTTTAAAGTCCTGAAGTTACATTTCACTGATTTTTTTTCCATCCTATATGATAGTCCAATGAATATAAATTATCAAAAGGTGCATTTTGCTTATAGTTTTAACAACAATTGTGAGACATATATCTATGCATTTTGCTCTTTGGCATATATTCAACTGTATTGTATTTTGCATTTTCTTTTCCTAATCCAGTACATTCCCCTGAAGTCTTCCACACAGAAAGTAACGTGAAGTAATAAATGGCAATCCCGTTTTTCTTTATGCAATATACTTAATAATCCTGAATATAGCACTTTTCCGGAACACTAAACAATCGAATCATGAAGATTTATCCGGTGATTCAACATATATGTATTAATATTTGTAATTTTATACACAAAAATGATAGAAACTTATGATTCCCTGAGGAATAAATCCAACCAAAAAATATCTCGAAAACGGGAAAAAAAAGCGATAACCTAATCCGGATTTGATAACAACGAAATCTCCACTTCACATTCGTATTCAGCATACCGCAACCACAGCAATCAATAGTGACAATATGGGATGAAGCTCAATTTCACGGACCATCTTGGTCCATCGAACTTTGACAGTTTGGGAATATTAAAAGGGCGGACTGGATAGGGCTAGGTTTTTTTATGGAGCTGGGGAAGGGAGGTCATTGGAAGTTTCTTGCGTTCAGTTAGGTATAATGTTAGAGGCTATATAAACTGCTTTCATTTTATGCAAGACCTTGACATAATAGAGGGTAATCGACAATAAATAACTTTCAATCGATGGATCATAACTTTCATAACTATTATAATCGGATTTTGCTTGACCTTTGTAAATATGGAAGCACTTTATGTTATTCGAAAATAGAATTGTCTGACAACAAGCAATGTATTATTAATGATGCAGTAATAGGTCTTTTTTTAAAACTATATTTTATACTATGCTTGTTTTATAGTGTATATTATTCTCTGGTTAAGAATAATTTATGTTTAAAATATATTTATTATTATGCAGACAAAGAGTCACTGATTATTTAATAGGAAATGTTGCTTGAAAATAGGGTTTATATAGTAATGAGGAATGTATTGTTGATGCTATTTCAGATATTTCACCTCGGAAAAAATGGTGAATCCAAAAGGTATTCGGCGTGGTACACGTTATATGTTTGCTAGAGCATTTCGAAAACATGGAATTGAACCACTGTCAACATTTTATCGGACTTACAAACGTGGTGACATCGTTGACATCAAGGGAAACGGTGCCTTCCAGAAGGGTATGCCTTTCAAGGCATATCATGGACGAACTGGACGTGTTTTTAATGTCACCAAACACGCTGTAGGAGTTTTAGTCAACAAACGTGTCAGGTCAGTTTCCGTGTTTTAATTTCATTTCAAGACATCTTTTGTTTTTAGGCTTTCTTGTATAAGTATCGCCTCTAATTGCTAACGAGGAAGCACCGAATATACCGTGTGGTATTTTCATACTATGATTTTTTCTTCTCTGCATTAAATTGTTTTTCCTTTGAGAATAACGTTTCAAATAGAGGTTCGAAAATTTTAGCGAATCTCGTATTTCATGAAGAACAGTCATGAAAGGCTCAAAAATTTTGGCTGAAGGAGATTGGTCCAGTTTGGGAGGCTAGGCAAAATAGATAATTTTGAAAAATATAACACATTTCTTCTATTTTGCCATATTTAAATTCATGAAGTTTTCCAGGAACCGCATCATACAAAAGCGCATCAACGTTCGCATTGAACATGTGAGACCATCGAAATGTCGTCAGGATTTTTTGAACCGAGTTAAGGAAAATGAGAAAAAGAAGAAGCTCGCACGAGAAACTGGTCAAATGGTACCCATTAGAAGAATGGTTTGTAGTTTTCATTCTTTTGCAATTTCAAACTTAGTCAAGTGTTGAGAGGAGGATAGTTGGTTCTGATGGAACTTCAATTGGAAAAAAACAAAAAAATCTGAGATGTACTATTATCAGTAGATAGAGTGTATTCTTTTTGTTATCGTTTTTTCGAACATCATGCACATTTCTTTTTCTTCTCTTTATCTGTCTTGCATGTTAAGAATATCTATATTGAATAGTTTTATTTCTGCAAGTTTTCTTGTCTTTTTTTCGGATTAATTCCAGAGAAATATATACTGTTAAATGCATCCTTTGTCATCTTTTTCTTATCATCTTTAATCATGCAAATAGGTAATTTGATCAATTTCAGCCAAAAGAACCGAGGAAAGCTCATTTGGTCAAAACACGTTCCAATAAGCCTCAATTGCTCTGTCCAGTCAGATTTGAAATTATTGCTTAAACAACATTTATCTTTTCGTTATTTGTTATACTGACATTGGAATAAAGATTTCTGTTATCTTTTTCTTCATTTGTATCAAACATTGTGAGTTATTTGCGTATCAGTTCGCACTCTTATTCGTATAATCATCACGAAGCTAAACTTTAAACTACGGTTTCATATTGCAAGTTTGAATAATATGGAAGTAAGAGAAGGGAATGATGGTGGAAGCAAGATTAATTCTGGTGTGTTTGTATGGAAAGTTATTTTGCAAGCATCTATGCAAACTGGTAAATGTCATTCTGCCTATGTGATTTATTATGAGGCTTTTTGTATCCCTCGTACTTTTATGAGGAGTTAGGAGTTGATGGGGTTTACCGTACCGAGCTGCAATGGAGAAACTGAAATGTAAGAGACTTTGACTGCTGGTACATAGCTACATGAATTTTTTTTAATGAAGATTTTTATTGGTCCAGATCTTTGGTATGCTTCCTATACTTTGATCTTATGAATAATTTATCCTCATTCGTCTCCTATCGTGTGCCATTTATTAAAAGATATGAAATTTTTTCTCCTAAATGATTTAACGTCGAATCAGTTTTTAAGCTCAGAAATATAGCAATGGGTGATCGTAATGTGGAGAAATTAATACGGAAATATATTGATAAACGGGATGATAAACTTGTTGATATTGTGGAACGATGCTTACGGAAGGGTTATGATTATGAGAAGATGAGGGATCGTGTTAGCGATCATCTCCGTGATTCAACTTCACGGAAGCGTTTAATCGATGCGCTTTCTGATGCATTTCCACAGTTTGCTCGAAGACGGAAACATCGGGTATATATTTTTATTCCTTTATTACCTTAGCACTATTGTGCAGATTGAAATAAGCTTAGATTATATTACAAGAGACATCTTTGCTTTACTTTTGGAATCCAAACAGTTTTTAATGTTTTTGGTTCTTTATTTCATACCTCTCAAGGTATGCATTTGAATTTTGAAATTTAGTACACTGCAAGAATTTTTCATCTCTTCAGCAACTTGTAAAGTTTGAATTATTGATCAGTAGTTGATCAGTGGTGTATTTCACGATGCGCATAGAAGTTGTGCACTTTTTCGAGATTTTTCAGTCGATCTTTGATTTTTCTTTATAAAATTCCCATAAAGCTCAAATCTTATGCATCATGCTACTTGCATGGATACACACGCACGCATCGGTGCTCCAAATTCTCATCCTATTTTCATAACTGGTGCAAAGAGTTTGAATTATCACTTTTTACTGCTGTAATACAATTTTGACAGTTTCGATCATTCGAAGTAAAATTTTTATCAGTAATTTTGAATCAATGAAATTTCATGAATTTCAGTTCGAGGAAACGAAGGATACTAAAGATGGGTCACTGAAGAAGCCTAAACTTGAAGAACGATCAGACTCTAATCCAACACCAGCTACACCAATCATCACTAAACCGATATTGTCGAATGTTTCTCTTATCAAAACAGAACCAAAGAAATCGGATGAAATTACGGAAGAAGTAAGTTTTATATCAGGAAATTGATTAAAAGGTTTAAAAGACTGCACGACAAATGCTTCTAATCGATATTTCGTATCATAGAAACTCGTAATATCGTTATGAAGAAATAGGCGCTGAACGACTTTGTTTAGCCCTTTTTTGATAGTTTATGATTAATTTTTTATTACTGCGATGTGAAAGGTGCAGAAGAAAACCAAAACATAGTTATTGATAAGTACGTATATTCCATTGTGATTATTCTATAGTTCATATGCTTGAAATTTCTTCGTCAAGCAGGATTTTGTTGCAATGTTAGGGTTTTTATGTTTTGTTACGAAATGAACTGCAACATTGTAAGATTTACTGAGCTTACATATTCTAATTTTAGGAGCTCAAAAGCAAGGAATTGATGTATCAAGCTCAAATGGCAATTGAGGAGCGGAAGCGACAATTGAATCTTACAGCAAGGCCTGGCATAGTAGCTCAAGCTGTGATTTCAAAAGCATCAAAACTAAATACAAAGGAAGCTAGCATGTTTATGAATTACTCAATGGAGAAAATTAATAGGTTCTGCAGTTTTTCCTACTTTTTGAAATTGTGAGACAATCCGAATTTCTTGTAAGTCTATGTTTTTTCAGGGTCAAGGAACTGAAAGAAAAATTAGCACAACGAACAGCAACAGTTGCGCAGCTTGTTAAGAAGGATGCTAGCGATGGAGCAATTTCAAAAGCAAAAGTAACCGATGAACCGGAGCAGAGAATTGTCGAGTATTTAGATCCTCGAATTAGGTTAGTATGTATTATTTCCTAAATGTCTTAATTTCCGTAAGTTGTACATTGTAACTAATAATCTTAAAAGTGGAATTATTTTAATATTCAGTTAAACATAACTTCAATTTCTAATACTCAAAGATAAGCCTAATTTTTTTCCAGTTTAAAATCTGCTCAGCGGAAGCAGCGTGCAATTGTTTTCCATGATAAAGGCGAATTTGAGAAATTGGCCCAACGTGAACGAGCCAAAGCTCGTTTAGCAATTTTGCAAGCAGAAATTACGCAAATAGCCAAGAAAACAGGAATGTCCTCGTCAGTAAAACTGGCTATGCTAACTCCATCATCATCTGCGGTATGTTAACCACATTACCTGGGCAATCTTCTTTGAAGAAAAGAAGGAGGAAGATGATTTGTCGTCCTTCTTCAATGTGAACAGCAGGACGAATGGCATGTTTCAAGTGACGTTCAAGCTTGACTGAGTTTTTAGGTGAGTGACGTTCCAGTCGTAGAGTGGTGGGACGAAGTCGTGCTAGGTGGCAGTTATGACTTGATACCTGAAGAGAATATTGATTCCGACGACAAGTATGTGAAGACAATCACAAACTTGGTGGAACATCCTATCCAACTCAAACCCCCTGATGAGCCTCTTCAACCGCAGTATCTGAAGGTAAGAATTTTTACTGCTAAAAAAACAAACAAGAAAAAATTTTTTATTTATTGCTGTTTATGACTAAAATGTTTCTCTTATAAATTCTTTTTCTCTTTTTATGCTTCTGCTTGCACTTAAAAACTACTTTTTGTTTTATTCAAGGTTTACTTAACAAGTCGAGAGCGAAAAAAGATCCGACGGCAGAACAGAAAGGAAGCACAGAAGGAACAGACGGAGAAAATAAGGTTTCTTTATTGAAAACCTTTATTTTTCCAGGAACTGCTGACTAACTCTTCTTATTTTCGTTTCGGATTTTAATGAATAATTTCTTTATTTCACCAAAAGTTCTTTGGAACGGATTTCTTTTTTCTTCAGGTTAGGTTTAATCAAAGCTCCAGAACCGAAAGTTAAATTATCAAATTTGATGAGGGTATTGGGTTCGGATGCTGTTCAGGATCCGACTAAAGTCGAAGCTCACGTGCGTAAACAAATGGCTGAAAGACAGCGTAAGCATGAAGCGGCAAATCAGCAGAGAAAGCTCACTAAAGAGCAACGGTCGGAAAAGAAAGTTCGGAAAATTAAGGAAGACACTTCGTTGGCTGTTCATATGGCAGTTTATAAGTTAGTTTCTACTCAGTTGGGACTCCATTTAATTCTAGAAACATCGATTGTGTAGGAGCTTGGATTTCCAATCTGGGGAATTAAGATGTTATTTTTACTTTTCCAGTAAGTAGGTTAAAATGGAAGTTTTGTGGTCGTTTGTGAAAATTTTATTCTAAACAGAAAGTGAAAAATAAATAGTTCCATCTTTTTTCAGAGTCAAATCTTTGGCTCATCCAGCGAAGAAGTTTAAAGTTGAAATGAACGCTAAGCAACTGCATATGACGGGTTTGATTCTGCTGCACAATAATATCAATCTTGTAATTGTTGAAGGCGGTATGTTTGGAATTCACTAATTTCACATATTGAATTGTACTGATTTTATACATTGCTTTATATGAATTTACTGAGGAATATTGGAGGGACGTCTACTGCTTTGTTTAATTTAGGACCGAAACAACAAAAAGCATTCAAAAATTTGATGTTGAATCGAATCAAATGGGGGGATGAAATTATTGGCCAAAAAAAAGAAGCCGAAAACAAAGATACGCCTGGTGAAAGAAATGATTGTTCCTTGGTTGGTGAAGTTTTCTTTACGTTTAAAAATTAAACAGATTTAGAACATGAGTTGAAACTTAGTAAACCAAAGAAAATTGCTGAAAATATTGAGTCGCCAAGTAAGATAGTGAAGTAAGATAATGAAGCTCGTTACATACCTTTTTATTTGCAGCCAGAATCAAATTTCCAACATTTTTTAAAGATTCTTTCAAAATGTCTTGCATAAGTTGCAGAGATTACGAATCAATTTTCCTGTCTGCCCACGACTTTTCATTTCCTTCTGAAAGATATTGCATGAAATAGGCGACAGCGAGACTATATTGTTAAATGACAGGATAAATTAAGGTACATGTTGTACTTTTATTAATTTTTTTTTTGAGTTTTGGAATTTTTAGATTTGGGAAGGTCTCCAGAAACGACGAAATTTTGGTGAAGTGAAATGTATGGTTGCTACACTAGAAAAACAAGCAAGAGAAATTTTGGAAAAACATGAAGCGGCACACTTTTGGGATCTCGCTTATAGTACTTCACTTTTGGCCGATGAAGCTAGCGCTTAAGTCCTCAGATTTATCAATATTGTTGATGTTTGAAAAAAAAAAACATAGTTTGAACTTCAGGTCCATATGTAGTGGGGTGATTATCAGGAAAGTCGAATTTATTGCTTGGGTTTGTTTTAGAGTCGCAAGATCTGGAAGGTATTTGTTTTTGTGTAAAAATGAGCGTTATGTGAAATATCCGTTCAGTTTTTGTTTTTCTTAGTATTGAAATCAACTCTATTTTTTGCTCTTTCTCTTTTGTATTTAATGTGTAACAAGTTTTTCTTTTTCTTTTCTTTTTTTAGGTTCAGAAACTGCTACTCGTAAATTTACCATTCATAAACAATGATTGTTTATATAAACTTTAATCAAACAGTAATTTATTCTGTTATATCATTTGTACGTGTTATCATGCGCTTTTATCCATTTGATCTAAGATAATTCATGATAAAAATCTTTGTCGGACATTCTGGTTTACATTTCACAGATTCTTTGTTCTGTATAGAACATTTACTCCGGCTAACATTCTCAAACAGTTTTCAAATTGTTCCGTTCAATTTTGCTTTACACAACTTTACATCATTTTATAATCGATGAGTTATTCTCAGTTTTCTCTGCTTGAACTTTTGCCTATGTCGCATAGCAAATGACACAAAAGTGATACTTGAGGTAAGAGCGAAAATTATTGATACTTGAAGACTAGCTTATATTCTCTCTGACACATAACTGGCGTATTTTTTTCGTTCCTTTCTTCAAGATAAAGTAACATGCTCATTAATAATTTATTAGTCTGAAAGTTCCGGAAATATTGATGTCCCCATGAGTCATCCAATGTAATTGAAAGGAGAAATTTTAGACTAGATTGCTAAATCCTAAGCTTTATAGATGACATATCACCCATAAACTAAGTGGAGACGGAGTATTTCGGCCAGAGTTAGTTTATGACATTTGCGAGGACAGGAATTTCGTCTAGTGTAGTTGTAAAAAGTATGTGTTTTTAAAAATTTTTTCAAATTTAAGGCAATAATGAAGGATGACGTTGATGTGACAGATGTATTACATGCAAAAGTTGACCAAATGAATGCTGAGGTGGAGAAAATGAAGCAAGTGCTTCAGGCAAAAGAAGCTGTTCTTGAGGATGTACTTTGTAGCATTAATCAACTCCCAAGACATCCATTCAATACGGTCCTGATTAAAGTAAGGTATTTTTTTTATGCAATTGCCATAAGACGTTTGCATTGATTAAATTAAAATCACAAATTTCTTTTTTCTCGAGAATAGTAAGACTTATTTGTTATTTCTTTGACCTATAAATATAAAATATATGTAAGTAGTACTAGATTATACGGAATTTAAAGCTTGTAATTTGAGTTTGATGGAATATTTGAGTCAAAATAATGATAAAATTGGTTGAAACATTCATTTGTTATAGAATATTTTGAAGTCAGAAGTGAAGCAACCAGAAAGTTCTAATTTGAATGGTTTCAAATGCTGCATTATTTGGAGTGCATTGTTTCTAGAGAATATTTGCATCGCCATTGAAGTGGAAAATGATACACACCATGCTGTGTCAGTTTTTTTTTCATAGTTTTAGTCCAAAAGTAGTTTTCGAGTAACTTTTTAAAAGTTACTGATTTTGGCAAGTTTCCAAGAAAAGAATGAAAATACAGTTTAGTTTTTCAGACTTTGTCATGTCTCAAAGTCTTCCGGCATCATCCATGCGGTGAAAATTAGGAAAAAGTTGTCTTTAAAGTTGCAGTTGTCGACTTATTTGAAATTTCATAAGTGTTAATAAATAATGTAGTCAACAATTTTCATATATATATATATATATATATATATATATATATATATATATTATATATATATATATATATATATATATATATATATATATATATATATATAT